GGTTTGCGGCTTTGGAGGATAAGGAGGAGCCTCAGTGTCCCCCGGGACTCCGGCAGTACGAGACGATGGCCGTGCTGCGGCCTGACATGACGGAGGATGAGCGGCTTTCTTTTACGCAGAGATACGAAGAGGTAAGTGATGATTGAATAGTGGAATCCCTCTCTAAATAAAATAAGTACAATGCATACAATAAAAAGCCAAAACATCACAAAAATAGCAATGTCACTGCCAAGTGCTAACTAGAGTCCTTAAGAACTTCAAACGACTATTTGTCTTGAGTTGTTTAAACGAGTTTGGACCAGTTGAAGTTTTATTGTAGTTTATCCCTTGATGCTAAGAGAAAAGTTATGCTATAAGTCTTTCTTTGTGGTTGGCTATTGATCCATTATGGTGGTATTTTGTCTCGAAAGTCTATTTACTGCTCAATATATGTTAATTTTGTTGGGTGATACCAATGTCTAGGTCTCTTGCTATTAAAGTCATGAATTCTATTAACATTACCTTTTTCCATTGTGGTAGCTTTGTTTGCTTGATTGAATATTGTAGAGTTTGAGGTGACTAGAGGTTTAATATATGTTTGGGTTCAGGTTGTCGGTTTGGAGTTTGTTTATCATATGATGTTGTTTGAGTGGTTGTGAGTGATGTGAGATATGTAAGGTTTTTGCTGTATGGTCTGAGATAGTGGTTGGTTGGTTAATGTGTGGGATGTTTGTTCGCGGTTTGTTTGGTGAGATGGAAGTGTTGTGATTTGGAGCTCTAGGGGAGGGCTGTGGTATGGTGGAGATGAGGATTAATAGATCAGGTGTGGTGCTCATTGGGTTGCTTGTTTGTGTGTTAATTGATGGTGAGTGGATATATGGGAAGTTTATCTCTATGAAGGTGACATGCTTGGAGAGAATAATTTATATGTCATAGCATTTGTAGACTTTCTATTGCTGATTGTAGCCTAAAAAATGTAGTGGAGCTATGATTATGAATTTATGAGTGTTGGTTTGTTGTCATGAAAACATGCACAATCAAATATCCTGAGGTGGTCATACTTGGTTTTTTTTATTATTTAGGAGTTGATATGGGGATTGCGAGCTGGAGGTGGTGGAGGGTAATTTGTTGATTAGATATATTAACCTGCGGTTAATAATACATCAATCCAACATTGAGAGAGCAGGTTGGTTGTGTTTAACATTATCCTGGCTATTTCCGCGAGGTGTTTGTGTTTTGTTTGGCTGATCTATATTGTTCTGGTGTCGATGGTCAATTTAACTGATATTGAATTCCATGGTTGTGGAGATAGGTTTGGAGTTGTTGGGAGTTATATTCTCTTCCTCCATCAGTTCTCAAATATTTTATTATTTGTTATTTTCATTAAGGAGTAATTTATGTATGTTTATAATATATTATGTAGTCTCATATTTATTTTGTATTGGGAAAATCCAACAGTAGTGAAAAAGAGTGCTATAAATGATACCTAATATCTATATCCTTAAATAGAAGTGAGGGAAAATGGCCAACATATATCATAATATATTAGTTATAATAATTGATATGTAGTGGTACTGGGAACAAGAGATACCATGCAGCGTTTTCTTTGATGATGGTCTGGACAGTGAGGTGATGTTGTTGATATTTTGAGTTATGGGTTGGATTTGGAGATGGAAACAAGTACTTTTTTGTGCGGATGTCTCAAGCACTGGTGCCAAATTGTTTGAGTGGTTGTAGAGCTGAGTGTTGTGACTAGATACAACCCGTATTTAATTGTGCCTGTAAGTATTATTTTATTGGTTGCTAGATCCTGTATTTGATAGCCATGAACATCAAATGTAATATGACAGTTGTTGTGTTGTGCTAGTTATGAACATATAGTGAATTGTGGGAAAGGTTGGGGGCCATGAAGATAGGAGATAGATTGAGTTTAGTGTTTGGGATGGGAAGGATGTCGTCGTTTGTGTGTGAGATGTTTGTTATTTATCCATTACCAAGGGGGACTTGTTCATTGCCCAGGTAGCAAAGGGATTGATGTAGATTCTACAGATGGGGTGTGAGATGTGTGAATGCTCCAATGTCTAATACCCAGGGTTTGTGTTAATATGATTGTTTTGAATCCTTGGTAGCTTGATGTTAATCTATTTATTTTGTAGATGATAATGTTTTCATTGCAATCTTCAATCCTGCCGCAGTGATATTATATACCAGTTTTTTGATTGTGGTCAGGTCTTGTGACATGTTATTGTTGTCTATGGTAATGCTGTGAATAATTATTTACATGTATAAATTATGATCGGTTGATTGATTGGATTGTCCTTTCCAACATAGTTCATATGGCTGTGGCTAAATTTTGATCCACAAGCTACAATAAGATGTTATTTGCGTTTTATTCTCGTGTCCTGATTTCATCTTATCCGAGTTTTGGAGGGCAAGTGATGGTGCTGTCCCGATTTCTTCCATGATTGTATTTCAGATCAAGACCTACAGACAATGTTGCCGATCATTTTTGTCAAAGTCAACTCTTTAAATTCGAACAAATTTGAGAAAAAAATGGCAACATAATTTGTATCTCTTGTAAGTTTGTTTATGGATGACAAATTGCATTTTGAGCCAAGAGAACAGTGTTATCTAATATGATAAGATATCTAATAGCAATCATTTTGAGAGTGATCCACTTACTGTTCATACAGGAAGGTTGTCATAACATGAGCTTTGTTTATGAAATATAAAAATATCTTGTCATTAATCTATCACGCAGAGTCCGTGATTCTGGGATTTGACTTTTGCATTTAAAACTTAAATAAACTTTTAATTTTTGTGCTAGGATACAAATACTGCTTGAAGAGCTAGTATTTTAGTAGAGATTGCTAAAATATTTTTATAAGAGTTTCATTTGTTTGTTATTAAATGGACTTGACTTGATGAAGATTTTTTATTTAATAATAGTTGTAGTGTTGTCGTGACTATCCTTATCTTGAAATTGTGTTGACGGGCGTAGATTTGGTGGGTTTTATGTTTTTAACAATGCTCACATTACGGTATACATTTTTTTTTATTGTCAATTATCACTAGTAAATTGGGATCCACTATGGAAAAACTTTCAAAAGTTGCAAAGTCTTGAGTTTCTCAACATTTCCTTTTCCATGCTTTCATCTCTCCAAACTTTAAAAAAGGCATCTTTGAGGCTTGCAATGGCTTATTGCTGAGTACTCTTCCTCTATTTTCCTCTAATTTCATTGAAATTTTTTATTAAAGCCAAATAAGAATTTGTAGATCCGGCCTTTTCCAACATTCTTTCTGTATTATTTGTTGGCCTGAGAATATTTTCAGTTTACTTTTTCAAGGATATCAAGTTGTTACTTTATGGCTGGAATATTAAAATACTTGGTTAAAGAGAGTTTAATTGTCTTAGATCATGGAGTATTGTCTTGATCTCATAGTTGTATTGTTTTTCTTGAAATAGTTTCTTTAGCTACATTCTATATCTTTTTAATAGTTTAGTGGTACATGAACTTTTCTTTGATCTCTAATCATGAAATTAATTACCATATTATTCTCTCTTTTTTTTTTTAAATCTTGAATCATCTGCATTTGGAGGAGCACTTATACCTACGCTAATAAGATACAACTGCTTTATTTTTCCACAGATAAACAACATGTTGGATTCAGACTGTTAGATATATTATTGTCTGCTGAGTTCATGTCCTATGATCAGAAGGATGGAGCCTTCAATTCTATAGTCACTGAAGTAGTTGGTCACGACTACTCCGTAATTAGACGTGACCTCTAAGGTTAAACTACTCATTTCAGAGGCCATCTCATGTTTTGTCATTTCTGTCATTCACATTCTTGTAAAACCTTCTTTGATCCCAATGGCGTTGAATATTAGTGAGTTAGCCTCGATAGAGAGCAGTTTGATGTAGATCCTCGCTAGAAATTAGGTTAAATGTGGAGATGAGTCACCCGTCGAGGATGACTGAAGATGGAGATGTGAGGCATAAGCACAAGCATGGTATAAGGGCACACTAGTGTATGTCAAAGACATGGAGCTCCATGCAAGTAAGTAGATAAGGTGTTTCACTTGAGGAAATTGATGTTGTTATGTTAGGAATTATATATTGTTATGCAAGTTAAGGGAGCTTAACATGTACAGTACTCAACATAGAGAACCATGAACATTGTCGATTGAAGGGGGGTTTAATGTTCACAAAATAGTTAACCTTGTCTTACGAAGAGAACTTTGAGGCGCAATTTTGATGAGAAAATGACTCATATAAGAGCCAAATGAATAATGAAAATAAAATTTTCAAATCAAAGCGTTGTGAGATGAAAGGAATCATTAGAATCTGTATTGTAGTGCCATGTTGATTTTGGATAAAACTGAATTTACTCTTTTCTCTTTTTTTTTCAATACATGAGACTAGGGTAATTATATATTTAATGAAAATTAACTCTTGATTACAATTAATAAACTTCCTAAAATGCTTGAGAAAAAGAGCTACAAACGAATAATAGGAAAGCAATTTGATCCTATTGTCAAAATTTTCCTTATTCGAAACTTAAATGCCTTCCTATCTATGAATATATATTCATATTTTCCAGTACATGAAAGACAGTGAACAATATCCACATATTTCATTTCCCAACTTTATCATACTAAAGTGGGAAATTTTATGTCATCCATATCTTTTTAATTCCTATCATGTCATTAGAGCCTTAGGCTTTTGCATTTATTAAAAGTCCTAGTCTGTATCACCTCATTGTCTAAAACTAGTAAGCCCTCATTGCTGCAAGTCTCTTTTCATTCTTCTTAATGTTCTTATTTGTTGCATTCATCTCTCAAGCCTTATCTTTATCTTTCTTTCTCTTTAAAACCAATTACTGCCATATCATTCTTTATCATGTATTACAAAATTACACGTCTATTGGTCTTAGATTCTTAGAAGTGAAAATGATTGCCCAAATCTAATAGAAAAGTTATAAAATGTTCATTTATTATTGCTAAGAGAAGAAAAAATTCGATTCATTTACTTGGCACCTATTCTCAACAAGGTGATCCAACATTCAGTACTTTGGAAGAGTTGGTCACTATGGTGTTATCCTGGTTGAAATAAGTGACACATGCATGTTCATTTAACGTACTAACTTT